CCCTCCCCTTTTGCAGATCACTCACAGTCCTAAGAGCACTTTTATCCCTCTCAAACAAACACAAGGGCTTGAAAGAAGGTTTCCCATTGGGATTTCCAAATGGAAGTACTACACCCATCCCCCACTTCGAACTAGGGGTGAGCATCGGTGCAGTTAGGTCAAAAATCGAACCGCACCGTAAAAATCGAAAACCAAAATTCTAGAATTTTTTAACCGAATTGCACCGTAAGAAATGGAAAATTTTCCTTCACTTTGGTAGTTGTTTGTAAATCCAAGGTTTTTTATTACTTCTGGTTAGAAGTTTTTGTTTTCTTGGACTCTGTACTCTTTCCATTTGTCTCACATGGAAGCTTATAAGGGCCTTATAGATTTTTAAAGAAGTTGCCCTATAACAACAAAATATTACGGTGAATTTGAACAAAAGTTCTTATGGTCACACGCGACATATTCATTTCCTCATAAATTTCAAAAAAAAACCCGATTCTTCTTTGATCCCCTAAATCGCCGAAAAAGACTGCATATACCAACACATCTTCGAACCCTTGTCTGCTCGTCAACTCACCAAGTCCGTTGCTCAAAATCGGATTTCGAATCTATGTTCGCGATTCTCCGAGGGAGACGACTCAGGCTCCCACCGGAGCTCTCTATTTCCGCCGCCCGTCAATTTTGGGGTTCTGAATATGGGGTCTTTTACAGGACGTTCACCACCGGGAAACCACCGCAAGGTGATCGCGATAATGGATCTGAGAAATCCTTCAGCTTGTCCTACCTCGTCAGCTCATGCGGGTTGGCCCCAGACGCCGCCGTCCGCGCCTCCAGTAAACTCCAGCTGAAATCGCCTGAAAAACCAGACGCGGTCTTGAATCTTCTCAGAGAGTACGGATTCACGGCAACCGACATTTCTGTAGTGGTCACCCGGTGGCCAAACATTCTCTCTGCCTGCCCAGACAAAACCCTTTTGCCCAAGCTTGAGTTTTTCGCCTCCATTGGCGTCCCCCTCCCCATCCTGGCCACCAGGCTGTCCCGGAACCCTCCCATCTTATGGCGCAGCCTTGAGAACTCAATCATCCCCTTATACGATTGCCTTAAAAACCTGCTTGGGTCGGATGAGGGGGCCGTTCAAGTCTTTAAACGGGCTCCCCGGTTCTTCTGCTGGGGCCGGGTCCACGACCTCTTTTCCAACCTCTCGTTTCTTGTGGACTGCGGGGTCCCTCGGCCATCCCTCGTGTCACTGGTCACGTACCAGCCAACAATGCTCTTGGTTCCTCAAGAGAAGTTATCCTCGTGCGTGAGTCGAGCAATAGAAATGGGGTTTGACGTGACCAGTAATATGTTTTTGATGGCCATTCGGGTTTTAGGTTTTGAGGAGTCGACCCTCAAGCACAAGATGGAGGTTTATAGAAAGTGCGGATGGTCAGAATCCGACATCAGAACCGCCTTTCTGATTCAGCCGCTTTGTATGGCCTTGTCCGAGAAGAAGATATTGAAGACTATGGCTTTTCTCGTTGATAAATTCGGGTGTGCACCAGGTGATGTGGCTCGGCATTCTTTTCTTCTTCGTTACAGCGTCGAAAAGAGAATGAAGCCGAGGTGGGCGGTTGCTACTGTTTTGAGTGAGAAAGGGCTGAAGAATGTGGCTGTCACGTCCTTGTTGTTACCGTCCGAGAAGATTTTCTTGAAGAACTATGTCGAGAAGTACAAGAAGGATGTTCCTGAACTTCTGGACATTTATCAAGGTAATCAAATCTTGTCCTGCACTTCCTGAATTGGTTTCCAGTCGATTGGTGATGTTAGTTGATGATTTTGTTTGTTCGACTTAGGAGCATTATTTCCTGAATCTTCTTTTTATGTTACATTCGTAATTCTCTTTGGTTGCATTGGAGTTGCAGAATGGTCTCACACTCTTTTGATGAGTTGGTTGATGTTTTCTGTTGGCACTTAGTAGCTATATATGCACTAGTATGAGAAGCAAATTGTGTTCCATAGCTAGAACCAGATGTTAGTCTTATTCATAATCTTTTGAAGTATTTTCTAAAGCCCAAACATCATTGGATTTTCTCACACTTTTTGACAATCATGCTTAAGAGTTGGAGCATAGTACAATTCCCTTGTACTCATGCTCAAAATCAAGGAAAAAGTTAACCAATCTTATGAGCTCCTAAATCTATCAAAGGCCACGAGGCAACTTTTTGCGATTATCAATGTTCGGAGTCAAACTGGAACGATCAAATCCTTATGTTTCATCTATTTGCTTGCGTTTATCTATTTGCTTGTGTTTATGCAGGAGATAACTCTTGAAGTCCTTCGACAACTTTTGACAATTGTCATCACTTGAAATGTTTCATTCACAATCAATTCCTTCTGAAAAAAAATAAAAAAAAAACAAATCAAACACAAGTAATTTACTGACAAAAAACTTACTAAGTCCAGCGTTTCTCATTTTGTACTTTGTTTGCATAATTCTTTGGACGCCCTTAATCGGATTTTAGTATGTCGTCTAGTCTATATCTATAATCTATATATATATCTATAGCTCTCTTAAAAGGAAGAGTTGTTTCTTGAAACTTTTGAATTGCCAAGAATACCATCATAAAAAGATAAGTTTTAAGGTTAATAATGTAATTTTTTTATTAATGTTATGAAGAGATAAGTTTTAAGGTTATTAATGTAATTTTTTTATTAGTGTTAAGAAGTTACAACTTTTATTTATTTTCTTTTATTTTTTATGCTTAATCATATCTTTAAGTTCTTACACATACAAAACATTACTTATGCAAATTCATATATTTTAAATAATAATTTATTCATAATTAAATTATTCTGAATTAATCTACATATGACGTTAGGTTTTGATTTGATTATTTTTAAAATGTAGGAGAAAAAATTATTTTAAGATATCTTAAATAAAATATATCATATTTTATAAGTGTAAAATATATAAGGCACCACTAAAAGTATCATCTTTAATTTCCAAATATCATATTATTTACCATACAAATATTTTATTATAGCATTAATGGTTATAGTATTAATAAAATTAAAGAGGAACAATTTAGTGAGCATGCATATGTTTAAGAATGATTGAATTGGAAATACTTATTCAATATACAAAATGTCAACTTTCTTTGGAAAAAGTTATTTGTTAAGTAAAAAAGATGTGATCTTAACAAAATTATTGTTTAAAATGTTATGAAGAGATAAGTTTTAAGGTTGTTAATGTAATTTTCTTATTAGTGTTATGAAGTTACAACTTTTATTTATTATCTTTTATTTTTTATGCTTAATCATATCTTGAAGTTCTACACATACAAAACATTACTTATGCAAATTCATATATTTTAAATAATAATTTATTCTTAATAATATTATTCTGAATTAATCTACATATGACGTTAGATTTCGATTTGGTTATTTTAAAGGAAGTGTTAAAATGTAGGGAAAAAAATTATTTTAAGATATCTTAAATAAAATATATCATATTTCATAAGTGTAAAATATATAATGCACCACTAAAAGTATCATCTTTAATTTTCAAATATCATATTATTTACCATACAACTTTTTTATAATAGCATTAATGGTTATAGTATTAATAAAATTAAAGAGGAACAATTTAGTGAGCATGCATATGTTTAAGAATGATTGAATAAAAAATAATTATTCAACATACAAAATGTCAACTTTCTATGAAAAAAGATATTTGTTAAGTAAAAAAGATATGATCTTAACAGAAATATTTGTTTAAATATTCACTAAAACAATATGCATATTATGACTTAAGTTTACCTCTTAATAATATGTAAAGTATAAATGTTTTTTATAATAACTAGTGCGATGCACGAAAAAATAATATTACGATTGTATTATAAATTTAATATACAAATAAATTAATCAAGACTGACCCATCGTTTTTAAATTAATCGTGTTGGACAAAGTCCGACCAGATGGACCGAGAACAAGTTTATAATCAGTATAGTTCACTTGAATAAAATATTTGCTATTGAATCAACACCAATCGGTTGAACTGGTTGGATCGATACGGTTTTTTAAATAAATTTGGTTATATTTAAAATTATTTTAAATAAAATTAGATATTTAAATAAAATAGAGATTTATAAATTGTTTATCAATTAACTTAAACATTTGAATTTTTAAATTGTTTAGATATTTAAGTAACACTTTTTATTCAAATTTATTACAAAACTATTATATATATATATATATATATATATATATTAAAATGTATTTTTCAAGAAAAAAATAAAGTGCATGATTTTTATAAATTAAATTGTATGATTAAATTGTATGGTTAGATTAAAACATATTTATAAATTAAATTGTATATTTTTTAAAGAAAAATAATTAAACTACTATTTATGGATAGCATTAAGTGCTGACCTATTTTTTTGCTACTAATTTTAGTAAATATGATGGCTCTTTATACAAGTATAGATGTGTTAAATAAATTAAAATAGCATTTATTGAATTGTAATATAACAAAAAATACATTAAATCTTGAATTTCATAATACGTGTACTTATTAGAAAATAGTTATAATTAAAATTAATTAAAAATAAATAAATAGTAAATTTATTTTAAATTTGTTGTCTTTAGCATATTTTATTTATAAAATCATTCATAAATTAAATGTTTCAATTCACTTCTCAAAAGTAGGGAAAATAAACTATATAAAATATTGACGAAAATATAAAAATAATGTTAAGAGAAAAAAAAAAATGAAAGAATCATCATTTTATAATTCATTAAACTAGACTTATTAAATTTTCACATTTAGGATAGTCTTGAAAATCTGTGAATGAAGATAATGCATGTATGACAATTTTAGGAGATACAACAATAATTTATGTTGGACAAAATATATAGATAGATGAGTATCTTTAATCGATAAAAATGTTATTATTCTTAAGTTTTTTCATGTATTTTTTTTTTTTTTTTTT